TTAAGGACATGATGTCCTAAAGTTTAACAACGGAAGGTGCAAATACAGGATATTTTGTCCTTAATATTTACACAGCATTCATGAAGTTAAGGACACCATGTCTTTAATACTTGCACATACTCATAAAGTTAAGGACACTATGTCTTTAACATTTACACTTTACATATGAAGTTAAGAACACCATGTCCTTAACATTTACACCGCACATATGAAGTTAAGGACATGAGGTCCTAAAGTTTAACAACAAAAGTTATTATATTTTAACAACAAAAGATTTAGGACACCATGTCCTTAATATTTACACAGTACCCATATCTAGCACAGAGGTATTTTTGTCCGGACGGATAAAAATTTATTAAGCACTAATTAAAGAGTAATTATATTTTAAACAGTGCCTAAAGAGTAAAGACATTTCTAATTAGTGGTTAATGGTGCACTTCCCCGCGATTGGACTGGTTGGGACAGCATGCTAAGTTTATAAACATTTGGGAGCCCAGCCCACATGTTCGGCCCATCAATATAAGTCGAAGCAAAACCTCAATTATTACAGATTCACACAAGTTCCAAGCAATCAAGTCCCAAAGAAATTGAAAAATCTGCAGAAATGGCGATTACACTCAACAGCGGTTTCAAGATGCCGATAGTCGGACTCGGTGTTTGGCGAATGGAAGGCAAAGATATAAAAGATCTTATCATTAACGCCATCAAAATTGGCTACCGTCACTTTGATTGTGCTGGTAACACACTCTCTTCTCTTTCTCTTTTCGCTGTTGATAGATACAAAAAAGCCCCGCCCCTCATTTGGATTACTAGCTGAATGTGATTTCCAGATTTTTACACACGGTTAGTTCTGGATATGTACTTTCTAGTGTTATTTATCCTTTAAAACAATTCTACTTCCCCTCCCTGAATGATTTTGATATAGAAGCTTTTGTTTCCTATTAGAAGGCACGCACCCTTTGAGCAGCTGGTATTGAATTATATATATAGTTAAAAAATTGTAGTTAAAAGATATATGTTTGGCGTTGCAAATTCAGAATTTCTAAGAGAGCTTCGCGTTGCTTAAGTTGCGGTTCAGTGTAAGGCAAGGCACTAAGGCTTGCGTCTCATTGCCCACGAGTTCTCTATTGAATCAAGCAGCACTAAACAACAAATATAATCGAAAATAAGTGTATCAGCTGCTAAGGGAAGCACTATGAATGAATTTCCTGATGTTCTTTGGAAGGGCAACGTAAGGCTAAGCAACCGATGTCAGTGCGGTTGCTGTCCGCCAATGAGGTCCTCGCCGCATGCTAGACTAGATTGTCAGTGCCGTGCGGGAAAACCAATGTCGTGCGGGAAAACCAATGTCGTGAGCAAATTACGGAAGCTGAGAGAGAATTGGGTTTTGAATGATGATGATGATTTTATTGATGAATGAAAATGCTGATTACAATGATGCGGTGTCGAGGGGGAGAGACACCAGAAAATGATTGCTTGAAAAGTTTGATTGTTTGGTCCCCCTTAATAATGCTTAAAAAAAATAAACCAACATTACAAGACTAGCCCTAATAAAGCTGTAGAAGCACACTGAAATGAAAATGATGAAAACTAGCCTATGATTACAATGAAAAGGACTTAGATTATTACAAGG